CATACATGTCAATTTTATTAAATACTATTGTGACGTACCATTGTTTTTGAAGGAGGGGGGGGGGGAAGGCAATCCAGAGAGAAAAAAAAACGAAACTCCTATTTAGTTAGAGGAGGGGGATGTAGATCCCACTTCCTTCAGCACCAAATTTTATTCATACAAGACGACTTCACCCTTGCTTGGCTTTACTGTATTAAAAAGGGTGAGAAAGCTATCGGTGGTCTTTCAATGAAGATATTTTAAAAGTAAAAAGATGTTTTGAAAAAAAGTGTGGGGAGCGCTTCCACCAGCTGCTACGTACCTTTATTCTGTCCCCCGTAACATTTTGCATTGGGTATAATAATTGGTCAGAAAAGTACCATAGCTGACATTTTTCATTAATATAGTGTTAGTCATAGGATGTGAGAGACACATACTTTTATAAAAAAAAAAAAAAATGTGACGCCGGTTCGAATTAAGAAAACATGAGCTAGTGTGTTTATTTCATGGTATTACATGGCTGTGGAATTTAATTTTGAGTTTGTAAAAATAATGTTCAATATTTCAACTAAAATTTTTTTTTTAAAAAAATACGCATGAAATTGTTCAATAATTATTACGATTGTAATTAAAGGCTGAAAGGTAATTTCTATATACTTATAACATTTATTGTAAAAAAAAGAATCGGTTGGTTCTGGGGACCCGACCTCCATATTTATAAGATTACACTGTAATACATGTACATGCAACTGTAAAATTTATTTTGCTCTCAAATTCGATCCTGTATTTATCTTAAAACTGAATTATTAATAATAATAATTTGACTTCATAAGGAAATTAACACGAAATATCTATGCTGCGATTGTTAAATCTATAAAAATAATTTTTATTAGTGAATCAATAAGCATCTATTAGACATTTTTGTAATCAAGGGGCCCGTTTTTACAAAAGAACTTACATTTAAGACCAAAATTTAATTCTGCGATTTTATTCTTCTTGAATAGAATTAAGAATGTTTCTTTGGTAACTTTTTGCTAAACAGTTTATTTTCAAAAATTTATAATCAACATAAAATTTTAGTTTTAGTCGTAATTTCTTTTGTTACAGAAAAACAGGTTCCAGGGGTTCGGGCAACAATTAAAGGAATATATATTTTTTTTTTTAATGGAAAAACTTTTTTTTTTAAATTAAAAACTGTCAATGATAACACAACAGTAATTTTAGGAGGTTGACCTGAAAACTAAAAAAAAAAAAAAAAAAAAGAGGAATGTCAAAATTATAATGCTGGGCTGGGTTTCACAAAACTATCGTAAGATTTGTCCTAAGATAGATCTTAAGATCATCTTAAGATCTGACTTATGACAATCATAAGATTTGTCACTGCTGTTTCATAAAACTATCTTACGTATAAGAAATCTTAAGACAAATCTTAAGACGAATTTCATTCTTCAATTTCACAAGAATTTTTTAAAAATATGTTTGCACGAGGTTTAGCTGCCTTTCCTTAATTTTTCAGATATACGTACCCCCCAAAAAATAAACATTTTATTGTATCAACTTTAATGTAATAAGAGTGTGTGTTTGTGTATGTTGGGTCATAAACTTAAATTTGAATTAATATCATAATCATATATAAAAAAAATGAATAAATTTGTTTAAATGTCTTCTTCCTCAGAAATTAGGAGTTCCTAGCGGCATTAGTGAGATGCTTTTTTAATTAATGCTAATAGAGTATCTGAACCTTTCCAAGTACTAAATGATTATAGCAATGAATCCTTTTGAAACATCAAATTGTGTTCAAAGTTCGTTCATAAAATTCGATTCGCTTCAATGCTGCAGTAAAATAACAATGCTAGAGATGAAAAAGAAACAAAAAAAAAAATTTCCAATTAAAATTTTATATTTTCAGTACTGTAACATGTAAGAACGAATGAAGAAAGCATGTACATAGTAACATACTGCATCAAATGTTACAGCATGATTTTCATACACATTACGCATTCTTGTAGATTAATGAGGGATACCCCAAGAATAAAATCATTATACCCCCCGCTTGAAAAGTGGGAGGGTATATAGTAATCGTTAATTCCTTCCGTCCGTCTGTTATGCTTTGGGGTACCCATCTCTTATCCGCAACTCCTCCCATAGCACTGAATGAAATTTGATGAATCTTTCACAGAATCTTTATTATACATATTTCCATTGTGCACCTCGTATTTTTATTTTTGATCTGACACATATTTTGGGTTTCCCGGCCATGGCAACTCATGGACTTTGTCATCCGTTATAACCAGATGGGAGGCGGGGGGTATCATTTAGTGAGCTCATTGCTCACAGTAACTCTAGTTTGATTTTCATCTAATTTTGTACCACTGAATGTACTGTTATTTCCTCATTTAAAAAAAATCACCATAATGAAATAAAATAAAGTAAAACGTCTAAAAATGAAAAGTAGCTACATTATTTTATTTTTCTTTTACTTACAGAGACTTATCTAATCCATAAAAATGCAAATACTTCGTATTTTTGTTTATTAAATAGATGTTAATGTAACCTATCAATAAATAAACTTTATGCATCTCGAACACAAGATCTGGAATTACTTTAGCCATTAAAAAAATGCTTAAGTTAGTAATGCTTGATCATACTTATTGTGATATTCTTGCGAAGTATGGCATTCAAATGAAACAATTTTGAATAAAGTTATATATGATATATGAATTTTACATACAAGGCCTTAATAGGGGGCATTTCAGTTGGAAGGGGACACAAGCAAAGAAAAAATGCATTGGATAGAATAAAGTGGAAAAACATAAAGTAGGTACATTTTAGGTTTTCTATCGTTTATATACTGACAAATTATTTTTGCGATGGGGAGGGGGGTGTTCCGTTTTCCCAAATACAGTTCAAGGTTTGTTCTTTTACTACAAACCATTTATCTTTAAATATCCTTCGGTTTTTAGCTAAAATATATACTGTGCCTGTTTCATTTTAGACTTAAGACATGTATCTAGTTGTCTTAAGAGTTTGATAGATCTTAAGATTATCATAAGATATGACCGTTTTGTGAAACAGCTATGGTGCAATCTTAAGATAATTTTCGGTCTTAAGACAGTTCTTAGTCATAAGACAGCTTTGTGAAACTAGCCCCAGACTTTTTTCATTGACGTTGTAAATTTCTAATACAAATACTGACAAATTTATGCAGAAACAGTTTTCGCATTAACAATGCGACTTCACCTCCCGCCATTTCTTTTACCTGTTACTCCAGGTAAACTGAGGAATATACTCGCGTAACACGGGTTGATCACCCGTGTCGAAGATAGGTTGTTTTATTTACAACTCTAGTGACTCGTGTAACCTGTGTCGCTTAATCGAATATACCCCTAGTGTATAAAGTTGGAAAGTTGTTATAAGACTTGAAATAGTAGAACACCAAAGAGTCTGCCACAACAGCTGATTCTGGGCTTTCATTTATTTTGTTTAAAGCCAATTCCATAGTTTTTAAAATGATATAACCTATAACTTGGTTGTATTTTGTCTTACATATTTCAAACCACTTGTAATGCCTTTCTTTTCAATCGGAAAAAAAATCCAAACTTACTACGAATATTTCTTCTGCCTGATCAATACATAATCCTCCAGGAAACCTGATCCCATCTCTGAACTTTCCATGAGTCCATTTTTATAAGCAGTTTACAGATTTGTGTTATTTTGGATGTTTTAAAATATAAATCACCTGTAGTTATCGCCACTTTTTTTTAGTTCGCAAAAAAAATAGGTGTAGATATAGAAAGGTGGACTCCGTTCCTAGGCACCTATAGCATTTACTTGTAATTGATTTGGTATTCCGTTGAAAGTTTCTAAACTTGAAAAACATATTTCATGCGGGGATGGGGGTTAGAGTCCAACTTCAACTTTCAGTCCTAAATTTTCTACATAGAATACCACATTACCCTTTATATTTAATCTATAACAAAAATAAAATCAACTTATTTCATATTTTAAGATACATGTAATACTGTAAATGTATTACATTTGGCAACTACGATATTTGGCGGAAATTCAATTTTCAACTAGTTAGTGTAGATTTGATTTAATGCTGTCTGAATGTGCTACACGTAGCTATAAATGTTAATATACAAGACATTTAGCGATGTGCGTGAATTAGCGGACTCTCCTTTCCACCAAAATCGCTAAATAAAATACACTGCTAAATGTAATACGTTTACAGAATTGTCTTGAATATTATAAAAGTTGGTACAAACATACGCATTAAAAGCCTAATATACGGCATCTATTTCCAATATCTTGAACCTACATGTATAAACTTAAGAAGAAATTATTTTAAATAAGATTGATTGATTGATTGATTGTATATTGTTTAACGTCCCTCTTGAGAATTTTTCACTCATGCCGGTGAAGGGCTTCAAATTTAGACCTATACTCGGCACTCAGGGCCATTGAGCAGTGAGGGTTCTTTATCGTGCCAACGCCTACCGTGACACGGGACCTACGTTTTTAAGGTCATATCCGAAAGACCCGTGACTTTCACTTCTAGTGCCGAGTGCTTGGCGAAGGAACAGACACTACCTATGTTTACGTCTTAGGTATGACGCGGCGCCGCGATCGAGAATCGAACCCAAGCATCCCGATCACGAAGCGAACGCTCTACCACTAGGCTACCGTGACCGGTATATTTTTTTTTAAATAAGAAGTAATAATTAATTGCTTCAATTCAAATGAAAACCAGCATATCATGATCTCAATGTGTATCCTTATTATAACAATGTAACATCCTTTCATAAATATTTCATCAAATTCTCTGAAAATAATTTCATATTTATCATGTTTATGTAGTCTACATTTTCCACTTTTCATCTTCTGAAAACTTAAGCAAAAAAAATATTCTTTGCAATGAAATGTTATCTCACAAAATGATATGTTTCAAATTTATATAAAAAAATAAACCCATTGTGACAACCTTTTCACAAGCATAATTATGCATATTCATGTATCTCTATTTAAGGTAGTTAATTTTCTTAACCTTTCCTCCCCATTCAGCAACAAACAAATAATTTTTATTCACACATAATCCCCATGGATCCTTCAGATCACAGTTATCTATATAACGGAGGAACACTCCGTCCTGGTCTAGGATGTGAATACAGTGGTTATCACCGTCTGCTGTCAGGATCTGACACAGACTGTCTGTTGTGATGCCATAAGGTTTAAATGGTTTCTTCTTTACGGTAGGAGGATGACCAGTGTATCTAAATGGGAGTTTTCCAGCTTGGTTGACAACTACAACAGCACCAGCTGCACTGTCAGCCACACAGATATCCAGGTTTCTGTTTTCACTGATGTACTTAATTGTGTCATTTCCTGAATACAGAGGTTTACCCTCCTCATCAAACTGGATTGTTTGTTTCTCTGTGGAGCCCGAGTAACGGACAACCTTTGATTGTGTTTTATCATTACTGAACATGCTAACCAAGAGATCCCCAGAGGAGGTGACACAGAGATAACCAGGTGTCCAGCCCTGTAGCCTGATTATTTTCTTTGTCTTTCCATTCTTAACCTTATTAATAGTCCCTTTCCTCCCATCAGCGTATACTAGATCTCCATCACCTGTCACGGCTATATCATTGGGAAATGTCCTTGATTCTTTTGTTATTGTCTTGATATGTGAGCCTTGAATGTTAAAGCATTTCATATCACTGACTATTCCACTTGTCCAGATTTCTTCTTCATTGAGACAGGTAACATTGCGGAGTTTTTCATACCCAGTTTCTATAGAAGTGATAAGTTCTGGTTCTTCTAGCAGTTCTCTGGTTGTTATTTCTTGTTTCTTTAGTTTGTAGTCATTTTCTTCTGATGTAATAGATAATGGTGTAAGAGATCCAAACAACTTGTAGAGCTTTTCTCTATCTATTGGTTTAGCATTAAAAATGGACAGTGATACATTAACTGTGGGAGGAAGTTTGCTGAATTCTTTGTTTCTGGAGCTGTATTCCATGGTCATAGACACTTCATTTGATTCTTCGATCTTTTTCAAGTTGAACAGAGTTTGTTCAATAAGACATTGTAATTGTTTGAATTCCTCTGCATATTTCTTCAACATTTCATGGTGTTTTACTTTAAAATCATCAATTTCTTTTTTCATGGCGTTGATGACATTGTCAATTTCTCTGTGCCATTGTTTTCCATGTTCTGTCACGGCTGTTGTAAGTTTGTCATATTTTCCATCCAAGTTAGTAATCTGTGTTTCTAGATCGTTTGTGATTTCTTTGTATGTAGGATAAATAATGTTTTTTAATTCCTCCGTATCTTTTGCAATATCATTTTTCTTTGAGTCGTATAATTCTGCGAGGACTAAGAAATTGTGTCCTTATAGGAATGAGAGCACCAAATCCCCGGATGAACACATGGCTTTGTTTGTTATGGAACATTAAACCGACTACTGAATGGGTAGGCGTTACGCCATTGGCTGAAATCAGGTATTTAATTGTTTTCATTTTAAAGTAAAATTAATGACCTTTGAAATAAATGATGGGATGAGGGAATATTACAGAAACTATAGAAATACCAGGGAAGATTTTAGGAGTGGGGGTTGATTTTTTATGTCGCGTGTTATTTACTGCGAATCTCTATAAGTTGAAAATAACTGCAATTTTGACCTATAAACGCAATGGGACCATATATTTTTTTCAGTATTTTTTGTTAGGGCTTAGAACAAAGTTTGAAATGATGCTAAAGATTTTTCTGAAATTGTCATAGTAAAGTACTGAGAGGGCCTAAGGTTTGTATGGAGTTCTATGGGAAAATAATTAGTGGTCTTTTCCCTATAGAGACCCCAATTTTTACACTGTAAAGTGATTTGAAAGTCATGAAATGTTATTTTTAGCTAATTATTTGAAGATTGATGACATTTCGAGAGAAAATTTAGCAAAAATTTGAATTAGTTTACTGCGGTAATGGGGTTAGTGGTGATTTGGGTGTATTGAAGAGAGAAGGGGGGGGGGGGGGTAAGAGAAGGTAGAATTTAGTAAAGCCCTGTACAGTTGGCATGGTCAAAGGAGG